AGGAAGGAAGGAAGGAAGGAAGGAAGGAAGGAAGGAAGGAAGGAAGGAAGGAAGGAAGGAAGGAAGGGAGATACCACATATACCACTTCACAGTGCTTTTACAGCCTTCTCTAAACAGTTTATAGAGCCAGCCTTTTGCCCCAACAATCTGGCTCCTCATTTTACCCAGCTCGGAAGGATGGAAGGCTGAGACAATCTTGAGCCAGTCACAATCGAACTGCTGGCAGTGGGCAGAGTTAGCCTGCAATACTACCTTCTAACCACTGGGAGCGAAGGGAGGGAGGGAGGGCAATCGCAATAGAATTTAGACTTATATACAGCTTCACAGTGCTTTTACAACTCTCTCTAAATGGTTTACAGAGCCAGCATTTTGCCCCCAACAATCTGGGTCCTCATTTTACCCCTCCTCGGAGGATGGAAGGCTGAGTCAACCTTGAGCTGGTCAGGATCAAACTCTTGGCAGTGGGCAGGATCAATCTGCAATACTGCACTTTAAAGAACAGCGCCACCACAGCTCAGTGAAAAGGAATGCTTTCCAAAGAGCCGTGAGTTCAGTGTTGTAATCTGGCTGATTAGCGTACCTGTTCCACTCTGCCATCCCTCAATGCAAGAATACGGGTGACGTTTTTGAACTCGGCATATCGGCTGACGTTTGACTTGATGAGGAGGTCAATCAGCAATCCTCGGGAATAAAGGAGCTGCAGGAGGGAGAGAGTGAGAAAGAAAAGAGAACATGTATGCAAATTCTCCCAAGACAACACGACTGCCGTTGAAATAAAACTTTTTCTTCCTTGTTATTGCTTGCAAGGAACCCACTAGCAAGAATGCTAGGCATTTTGGTAAATTAAATGTGGCTCTTCTGGCTGAAGAAACGGGAACGCGAAGAGTCTTAAAAATAAATAATGACATTTTGAAAAGCAGCAGCAAATCAGCCCTAGGCAGCTGGAGAAAATAACCTCAAAGGCTGAAGGGACACTAGGTAAAGGTAAATGTTCCCCTTGCACATATGTGCTAGTCGTTCCCGACTCTAGGGAGCAGTGCTCATCTCCGTTTCAAAGCCGAAGAGCCAGTGCTGTCCAAAGATGTCTCCAAGCTTCTTGGATGAGAAGCGAAACATCTTCAAAGGAAAAAAACAAGACCGTTTTCCAGTTGCCTCCTGAAAAAAACCGTGACCCGTCAAAACCGCGGTAGACAAAACCGCGCTCGACGAACGCGCGTACCTGACGTCATCAGCAGCGCAACTAAAAAAATTAAAAATAAAT